AGTAGAATGGAAAAATTTAGTTGCTTATAAAGAGGTGGTAGTTCAAAGAAGATATTACCATTGTATGTGGATGGGAGCTCACTAATGGGTTTATGCCTAAGTTTACAAAGCATTTAACTCTTTTTATGTGAATAAATATACAAGAGCTTTATTATCTATCAATACTACAAACACTACACTATAAAGATAGTGATTCCACCTTTGCAAAGCATAAACAATTGAAGGTAACTCTTGTTCATACATGGAATATCAAAACTCCATAAGATTTAAAGTTTGACTTTCATATACAATAAGTTGTCTCTTTTACATGAAAACTCCCTCTAGTGTATAACCACTTGCATCACATGTCATTTTATAAGGTTTTGATGGATTAATAATGCATTAGAGTCTCACTCCATAATTGTTTCAATTCCACAAAACTATCCTTTTATGGCTTCTTCCACTCAAATAGCACATTTTTATGCTACAAACTTGCACTAGAAATATCAATAATAACTAGCCATACTAAAAAAATTATGTAACTCGATCACTAAAGTTAATGTATACTACTTTCTATTACAACCACCTTTCTTGAATTTGTCTTGACACCCTTAAATGTCATACTACTCCACCTCTAACTTTGCAAATTTATATTTACTTTTCTTCACATAAAGTTTTTCATCACATAGTAATAAAAGAACTTTATGCAAATGCAACTTATGCTCCATATTCTTGCTTAAAACAAGAATATCATTCAAAAAAATCTCTATAAACTTGTGAAGATAATATTTAAATACCTCCATCATCAACCAACTAAATATAGCTGGTGCATTCCTTAATTCAAATGGTATAACTATAAATTTAAAATGCTCAGAGCTCATGTTGAATGCCATCTTGGAAATAGATATGTCATCAATTGCAATCTAATAATATCCACTCCTTATATGTAATTTGATGATATCCACTCTTTATATTAATTTTGGTAAACACTTGGGTTTCACCAAACTTGTCTAAGGTATCATTTATATGTGGCATTAATATCTTATCCTTCACTATTTTTTTGTTCAAGGTATACATTGAGCCATCCTTCTTTACGAGCAAAATTAATGTGCCAAAAAGAAACTTACTTAGCTGAATAAATCCAAACTTAAGTAATTAAAATGCCAGATAGAGGTTGTTGCACTTTTTACTGTGTATGGAAGAACTCCTCATATTACTAGGGCATACTCTTCAATAAATTTTTCTAAAACAAAGTTGTCAACACTCTCACTATCTAATAAATTTTCACTAGACCACCACAAAATACACCCTCCAACATTAAAGTTGATACAGAAGTGTGCTTAATCTCCATTTTATTCCACACATAATTGAGTTGATGAGCAAGGATTAAAAGTCTCTTCATTCAACCAGAACAATTTTCCTTGTCATCCTCATGTTGCAAATTTTTGCAACTCTCCAGCTTACCATCGCTAAAAGATTAATAATTTTTTTTGCTCTACTACTTTTTCTTTAGTTATGGATAATAAACTTTGTAGTGTTCAATCTCACCACAATGGTATATAATTCTTCACAAAGAACTTCTATTTTTTTTACCCTTTCGCATCTAAAGTAGCCATCACAAACTTTAACTTTGTGATAGTTATTCCTATCTTTGTATTCACAGCAATCATTATAATGATTTCTGACTAAAGGACTTCTCAAATGCTTGTAAGACCTATGCTTATCATTGTCAAATATATCAAAGAGCACCTATAAACTCTTTATGGGTTGGGAGTAATGCAAATTTAATCAAGCGAGTAAGGTTTTTAATAGTGTTATTTTCCCTTGCTAAAAATGTCAAAGTTCCCTATGAGCATTCTTTATGTTATAGTGAGGGGAAAAACATAAATAATAAGCAACCTTAAACTCATCTATGGTAGACACTAGTGATTTCTTGTTCGCAATACGAAACTCCTTAAGTTAATTCCACCATTAAAGATTTGCATCACACAAAATCTTTAAAATAGCTATTAAAGCCTCTACATCTAGAGTTCCTTTACCAACCAAAAATTTCTTCATATTAGCTAGCCAAGCTAGACACTTGTTCACACCACTATCACTAGAAAAAGTTGAAATCTTGAATTAATCCACCAAGAAAGTCTTATTTGGAGCACCATCACTACTAATTTCAAGTCCCTCAACACACTTATGCCATACATTGCATTTTGCATGTTTTGCTAATTTTTTTTAGGGTTCCTAGTTTATTAACAATATCATAGATAGTCCAAACCTCTGTAACTCTATCAGCATCACCATTAGCACCACCATCAACAGTAAAATTCCAACATTCATCTTGGTTAACCATTGCAACCAACTCCTTTAATACTAATATTATGATCTTGTGCTAAATAACAAAGGCAAAGAGACTATGCTACACCTTCTTTTAAAGTTCCTCACCATTCAACCACCCCAAGCTGCCTTAAAAGCTCCACCACACCACCGCTCCACTGTGAGCCCCTTAAGTTAAAGAAAAAATGATGGAAACTTCGACTTATAGTCAAGCATAAAAATCTCTAGCTGTTAGGCATGGGTATAAATTTAGGGTAAAGCATTTTTTTTCAATAACTATTATTTAGGAAGTCAGCTTACCATTTTATTGATTTATGGCACATATTTTAATTATAAAATTATTCAAAAGTTGGCAACTCAACAGCTAGTTGATGGTTTAAATACTACTCCATCACCCTTTATATTTAAGCCACCTACTATTGAAAGTAAGCAACAATATCTTCCATTTCTAAAGGTGGCAACATATCAAGAGTCTTCTTGACCTTGGTCATTTTGGTATTTGTGAGGCTAAGATAAAGTTGACATTAGAAGTCATATATTATCACCATCATAGACAACTGTTGTCAAATTTTTAACAAGGAAAACTAAGGCTTTGTATGAGTTTAAACTTTATTGTGCCAAAGCTTTCAAGTATTTTCACTCAGATGGTTGTGAAGAGTATATGTTACAAGCTTTTCTGAATTATTAGATCCAACACTAATTCACTATAGTTTATACTCCACAGTACAATGAAGTAGTTGAGCATATGAATTGAACTTATTGAGACTAGATGTACTATGCCTTATGATGCTAGATTGCCTAAAAGTTTCTAAACTCTACAACACTAAGTTCTTACTACTACTGTAAAAGGATCAACCCTCTGTCAATTTCGTTGTATTGCCTATGCTAGTAAACTTTGGCTTAAGTTTGATTCAAAAATCTAGATATAGTTTTGATATTAAAAATTATTTCTTAAGCTAAATATTATTTTTGATGAGTAACATGTTTCTAAGAGTGGTGATATTTCTGGTCAACTATAGTCAACAGAGTCAAAATTCAAGTTAACCTGGATGCAATTGATGATGATTCGTGATGAATCAATGAATTTTGACTTTGTTGACTATAGTTGACCAGCAATATGACCTCCGCCGCACACCACATCTTCAAGGAGCGCAACTCCACTAATTGCCAATGAATTGGATGTTATGACACCTCAACTACCAACTCAGTAACATATTGCACCAAATCCCTATCTCCCCAAGGAATGGTAGGAAGCTGTTATCAGAGGTGGTCATATTATCTACAGTTGCAAAGGACATGGAAAACATCCTCAACTTGGGAAAAGTTGCAAACTTGGCAAAGGTGAAGATAAACTCAAGGACCCATCTCAACATAGGTGGTGCTTACCACATCTGTATGTGGCAACATTGACCTTAGACCAACTCGGCCATCTCAACTTCTTGTCTAATATTAATCTCGTGCCAACTTTCACGTAAATTTATTCATCGTGACAAAATTTGTAACAAAGATACAAAGATCTTGTCATGGAAAGCTTGTGCCAATTTTGTGATGGATGGGTTTGCGACGAGTCGGAGCGTTTCCCTCCGGCTCAACATTTATCATCTCGTTCTTGTCACCACGATTGATCGCGAGCGTGTGCGGAAATACCGATCCCTCACCAGCAGAGAGGGAATCCGGGGACAAAGATGGAGCTGGATGCCCATTCCTGATCAGTGCTTTCTGGCAGGCCAAAGACGAGGAGAGCTCTTGAGGCGGTGGAGAAGTGGGACCAGCGAAGCCATTGTAATGGGGATCACAGTAATCATCAAACATGGGACCGATGCTTTGTGGAGCCGGAGACGCACCGATTTGCCCCGCGTCGTCCTTCGCAATGCTGCCCTGGTACTGCTTTGGGTCGGATACGGTGCCGCTTGGAACTTCTCTTGGCTCATGCTTCACAAGCTCAGCGCCGGTTTGAAACAACTTTCTGGGCACTCCTCGCTCCTGATGGAGGCAAAATCGTTTAACACAGAGCCATTCCCTGGTTAGAAGAAAGAAAAGAGAGATTTATCATTGAAAGCCTTGCCTTGGGACCAAGATGAGAGCGATCGAGCGATGCAGTCGCAGTGGAAGCGGTCGCAATAGAAGCGCCCAGAAGCAGCATTGAGACGATACTGACAATCGTGAACATCTTTCTCCGGCCATGATCATCAGAAAGAGAATGAGAAGGAAAAAAAATCTCTCTAGCAAGCGGTGTTTAGCATGGCTGCTTGGAGAAAAGCCACTTGTGTGTGCTTCACGTCGATTATCTTCGACCATGGATTGATCTCAGTCGCTCAGGATAGTTTGGGAGAGCTCAAGATCTGATGAACAACATGCTGTTTCTCCCTCATGAGGCTCCAGCCAGAAGCTCCGTCGCCATATCCTTAGAGCAATGTTGTCCAAATTGCTATTACTTTAGGGATTCACGACCTTAAATACTCTCCGCTTGCTTCGGGGGTTTGGATCTTGCCCTAAGAAATCAGCATAAAGTTGACAAAGAATTCTTGAGTTCAGACTTGAATGCGCGTTCTGAATGCTGCCTGGGTTGTCCAGTCCAATTGCGCGTTCTGACATGTGGATAATGCTCCAGCGATATCAACGTGCATGCTACCGCTTTACAAATGTACTTCCAATGGATCCTAAGTTATATCTCAACCAGAACACGATCCATATAAAGAAGGATACAATAGAATTATGAAATCAAAGTTCTCTCCCGAGTACAAATCAATCATGGAGCTACCCAAAGTCCACTCAAAAATCACAATGCAGCTAAGTATGTACCAAGAACATAGAAAAGTGCAAGTGTGTATGTGTGTCTAGTGTGCGTGAGGAGAGAGCAAAAATTGAATGATATACCTGAGAGGTGGTACCACCACCATCACCACCAAAGAGAATTTCCATTTCCATCCATCTCCTCCCTGTGATCCATCCCCAAAATCTCCAAAAGAACCGGACACTACCAAAGAAGAGCAAAGCCCACAATCGAGCTCCCTAGCAGCAGTGTCGAGGCAAGAATTCGAGAAGCGCTGGATTGGTCCGAGGCAGATCCAGGCGACCTGGTGGATGCGGGAGTGGCAGCCGCGAGACCGGGAGCCGGGGCAAGGATCGGTGCTGGAGCCACTGGAACTGGCGCTGGAGCTGGGACCGTGCCTGGCGGAGGAGCTGGGGTGGGAGCTTGCGGAAGAACTCCATTGGGAGTGAGTGGCTTGTCCACCTCCACAATGCTGAGGTTGTAGCCGATCTGCTTGACGCTCTTGACGATGGTGGTGTTGGATCCGGACATGACGATGTCGAGGCCGGCCTTGGTGTTGGTGAGATTGGCCGTGCCGTCCTGCCCGGGGGCCTTGCCGGTGGTCTGGTAGAGCGACGTGATCTGCTGATCCTCGTTCTTCACGGCGGGATTGATGTACGTGAGGAAGATGTGGACGCGGATGATGTCGATGAGCTGCTTCTCAGTGGCGGTCTGGCCCAGGCTGCCGCGGAGCTGATCGATCTTGGAGTTGGGAATAACAGCGACGGTGATGGAGTTTCTGGTGTTGACGTCGCTGGCGAGGCCGGATTTCGTGAGCAAATCGTTGAACTCGGAGTAGTCGGGTTCTTTCTGGAGCTCCTCGGTGACGTTGAATGCCGCGGCGGTGGCCGCGACGGCGAGGAGAAGCGCCATAGCTAGCGGGATCTTCATCTTGCCGAAATCTGGGAAAAAGAAGAGCGCGGGGGTGAGAAATCCTCGAAATCTGGCCGGGGAATCACGAAATCTAAGCTACATTCTGGCTAGAACGCTGGAAGGGCTCCAGATCTAACCTGCATTGCTTGCAATGCAGGAGATTTGGAGGGATTTCCCAACAGCGAGAGATTACCAGATGCAAGGAGACCGGAATACCGATCGATGCGCGCCGCGGAGCCGAAGAGATCCAAGTGAAGCGATAGTGCAACCCCTGCTCCTGGCTATTAAAACCCCCAAGCTCAAGAACACACGCCCTAGAAATAATAAAGTAAAGCCGACGTGTCAATTACGCTGCCGACGTGGAGGCCGTTTACCCTGGCACGTCAGCGAATATTCGCGAATGTGTGGTGGGACGTCCACTTTGTAACCACCTAACGCTGGTGAGAATTTTTTCTCACTGGGCCAGGCTGGCATATGTTAGCTGGTCGTGACACATCCGCACGCCATTTCGACTGGGGCCCTTATATGGCGCCCTCACATTCTTTGGAGTGTCCATTCCATCCACCGGCCGCCGGGGTGAAAGGTATCGAACCGCGGACCTCTTTGCCTGGCCGGGGGATCGAGCCCGTGACCGGATCGAGAATCGACGGGCGGATGTGGTGGTGGAATCGGACGGCGATGTGGTGTGCCAGGTCACGCGCGTACTGCTCAATGCTGAGTGGAGACAAGCTGCGGGAGAGGGAGGAGGCCTAGGTAGAGGAGAGACTATGGCGGAGCACACGAGAGGTTCTAGGGTTTGATTTATTCGGGAATGGCGACGGCGAATGGCGATGCGTCGACGCTAGCGGCGGCGGCGGCGGCGGCCCCGGGCGCCATCGCCCCGGCCAGCGCCGAGGATGTGGCGCTCAAGAAGAACACGGATTGCGTCTACTTCCTGGCATCGCCGCTCACTTGCAAGAAGGTATTGCGATCGATCGGGGCGAGAGTAGAGGCTTTCTGCAGTTAGGGTTTAGTGTTTTTCTGGCTGCTGGCTGGCAGCAGCCAGATCTGCCGAGCTCGAGCTGACAGGCAGCGCGTGATTTGTTTTTGCAGGGGGAAGAATGCGAGTTTAGACACAGTGAGGCTGCGAGGATCAACCCCCGCGACTGCTGGTACTGGGTATCGGGGAGCTGCTTGAATCGGGATTGTCCATTTAGGCATCCGGTAAGAACTGTAGAGCTCTTGGCATCATAGCTTTAAGTGATTTTGTCCTTGTTGTTCTCTCCAGCCTTTGGAAGCTGGAAATCCGACTCCTGGACAGCAGCAGCCCGCGAGCAACAAAGGACGAACGCCGTGCTACTTTTTCATCCAAGGATACTGTGCGAAAGGCGATCGATGTCCCTTCTTGCACGGTGTTCCTAAGCCGACCACGACTGCTCCTCCAGAGCTCGAAGTTCCTCCAAGGTCGGAAGCTGCCATTCCATCTAAGCCGTCTTTGACAGCACAAAAGCCATCGGTGGACATACAACTGCAGGCAATAGCAGCAGTGCCGGAAGCGAGGCCAGCGCCACCTTCTCAAGTTGCAAAGCCAGCGGGAGTTTTTCAGGTTGCAAAGCCAGCGGCAGCAGCTACTCAGGTTGCAAAGCCGGCAGCTTCTCAGGTTGCGAAGCCAGCACCACCAACGCAAATAGCGAAGCCGGTTGTGAAGCCATCACCGCCAGCTCAAGTTGCGAAGCCAGCACCATCTCATGTTGATCGGTCCACTGGCTATACCCCGGCAGAGAATGTTGATCGGTACACGAGAGAGTCTACTGGTTACACTCCGGCGGAGAATGGCAACGGTGTAGCAGGCAGATCGAGAAGCGTTGCAGCTGAGCCGGAAGAGAGCGCGGAGCCTGTGTCGAGCACGCACGAGGACGATGATCTTCTCATGACGACTTCAAGAGCAGAGAATGGCACTCGAGACCCGGAAGAACGTTGGGAAGAGTCTTCGCCTGGGTTTGATGTGCTCGTAGACGACGGGCCAGAGGAGTCGGAGTTCCTCCACGGGAACAATGACGAAGCAGGCGATCGTTTCGACGACGACTACGAGTTTCAGTACTCCGAGATGTACAACCAGACTGGCGGATTCGAGTCGGGACCTCCACTATACGAGCGTGAAAGCTATGATCGCATCCGGCACGAGAACGGGAGGTTCGAGCAGGGGGAGTACACTGACTACGACGCTCCCTACGACCGGATGGACTTCGATCGTCCGCCGCTGCTGGACAACCCGGAGCGTGATTATTTCCGACAAACAAGACAGGTTCGGACACAGTCCATCAAGGAGAGGCTACGGTTCAACCATCAAGACCCACGGCCGTTTCTCGACAATGGTGATCTGCGAAACGTTCTCGAGCGGCGGCGGAGGCTGGATGTTTACCCGGGTCGAGAAGGCGATGACAGGTTTCCCAGGGAGTTTACAGACCGGGAGAGGCATCGCGACGACTTTTCCAGGGGTCGGGAGCGCGACAGGGCTCAGAACTACTTCCACCAGGCTAGACTTAACAGCAGCAGCGGCCGGAGATCATCGAGGGAGAGAAGCAACGAGCGCTTCCACCACCGGCATCCTCCTCCCGACGCTTTCATGTACAGGGGTGGTGGTCAGATCGATCGTAGGCCTGTGAAGGATGCGTCTCCGCCGGGCTACGAGGCGAGGAACTTTGGCCAGGGCTTCAGCCGAAGAACAGGCGGGGAGGAGCCATCGGACTTCGCGGCACCGAAGAGCCTGGCTCAGATCCGGGCCGAGAAGAGGAAGCTCGACGGGGAGGAGGTGGCGATGGTGAGCTCCTCCAAGCGCAGCTACATCTCCAGGGAGTCGAGGTTCCATGGCGGCGAGCTCAACGGTGGCGGGGACGATGGTGATCAACACTTTGAAGGTCCCAAGCCGCTCCACGAGATTCTCAAGGACAAGCGCAGGGAGGAATTCTCGCAGCTCCGGCGCCATGACGAGAGCGTGATCGTGGCGAGCGGTGAGCGAGAAGAGCGAGACAGCCGCGCCAATGGAGTGGCCAACCATCATGTACACGCTGACAAGATCACTACTACCACCGTGACTGCTCGAGAGGAGAGTGACGATGACGAAGACGATGACGACGACGATTTCGCGAAGAAGCTAGGTGGATACTTCTCGTAACTCTGATTTCTCTGATCGATCGAACAAAAAGGTCTGGATTGACACTTCGATGCGATCCTCTTCCTCTAATGGCTCTAAGCTAGCCACTGTTTTCTCAAGTTCCTGTTTAGACAGGACCCCGTCCTTGACGATGAACAGGCAGCTAGAAATCTTCCCGAGTTTTACCAGTGCTTGACGACAGTGGCTCCACTGGCAATCGCTCGCAAGTGCATATCTCGATCATGAATCCATCGGGGTCGTGGAAGAAGATCTGCTCCACTTCGATCCCTCGCTCCTGGACGATGCGTTTCTCGTATTTGATCCCAGCGTCTCCCAGCCTCTTCTGGACGAGAGCTAGATCCTCGCACTGGGCAATGTGGATGGATGTTACAAGAGAAGAGATTTCCTTTTTTTCTTTCGCATACCTGGAAGGAGATGTGATCGTCGCGAGGATTGATTGAGTGTTCTTGCGGAGGCCCCGCATTTTCTTGCTGGAGCAAATGAATTCCAATACCGTAGTTGTACAACCTGGACGATCAATCCATAGCGAAAAAAATCGATAGCGCAATCGATACAGGGTGGGAGAGGAGGGAGGAGGGATGCTCTTACCAGGCGCCGCGGACCTCGAGAGCGTTCGGGCGCTTGACGGGCACAAACCCTAATACATCGACGTAAAACTTCAGCGATTCTTGGATGTCGCGGCAGTTGCGCGAGAGATGATTCACGGAGGAGAGCGGCAACGGCTGTGGATTCTGGAGCGATTCCGCGCCGCCGCCGCCATGGGCGCTGCTCGCGTTTTGGATCATCGCTGAAGGAAACGAATGGAAACACAAAGCGCGTACGCTTCCGGGTAGAGAGAAACCCAACGTTGATATAACAAGTGGCGGCGGAGATCCACGTGTCTGACACGTGTCCACTTGCCGACTCATTGCTAGATTGTGATTTCCTTGTTGCTGCCGGGGTTTGAACCGGCGATCTTGTTGTCCTAGGGATTAGGGTTTGTGGGAAGAAGGGAAGAAATGGCGGTGCTGGTAGCGAAGAGGACGAGCGCGGAAGTGGAGATGGCGCACGGCTTCAAGGAGCATGCGACATGGAGTCCCTACGAGAACAATGGCGGGTTAGTGATCTTGGATCGCGCTTTGCTTCCTGTGGCGAGATTATCACGGATTTTCGCAGGACTTGCGTCGCGATTGCTGGATCGGATTATTGCATCGTCGCAGCTGACACGAGATTGTCGCTTGGCTACAGCATACTGACCAGAGGCCATTCTAAGCTGTTTAAGCTGTAAGTTTTTCTTTAGTGACTTTGGAAACAAAATGTGATTTTTCTTTCCTGTCTTTCGCAGCTCAGACACTGCGGTCATGGCCTCCTCTGGCTTCCAGGCGGATGTGAGAACTCTGCAAAAGAATCTAGAAGCCCGGCAAAAGGTTCGATCCTCTTTGTTTCCAGATTTTCGCCCTAGACCGCTGTCTTTTTTTTTGCTTCTCTTGAAACAGGGTTACTACCATCAGCACGGGAAACCAATGTCTTGCCCAGCGATGGCGCAGCTCCTGTCGAACACCCTCTATTACAAACGCTTCTTTCCATACTACAGTTTCAACGTTCTTGGTGGTCTAGACACCGAAGGTACGTGTGGAAGAGAGCATCAAAGTCTAAATCTTTGTGGAGGCTTGTAGGCAAGGGATGCGTCTACACTTATGACGCTGTTGGTTCTTACGAGCGGACAGGATATAGTACCCAGGGAAGCGGTGCAGAGTTGATAATGCCGATTCTGGATAACCAGCTCAAGTCTGCCAGTCCTCTCCTTTATCCTCCAAGGGTGACAAATCCTTTGCGATTCGTTCTTCTCTGTTGCTCACTGCCGGGAGTTTACAGGAAACGGCAACGCCCCTTACGGAACAAGAGGCTCTGGAAATTGTCAAGGACACTTTCGCTTCGGCTACCGAGCGCCAGATCTACACCGTTCGTATTGCTTTTTCTGGGTATCGCGAGCTTGAAACTCAACGCAAACTTGTGTGGTGTTGCAGGGAGATGGACTCGAGATTGTGGTCATCAACAAGGATGGAATACACAAGGAGTATTTAGACCTCAAGAAAGACTAGGCACTCTCTCTTTGCAGGAGCTATGTATAACGCCGATTCTTAGGACATATTTCATGGACAATTGTTTCATTTCCTCTCGTTCTCTCTCATCGGATTGATCACACTGAAAGAAAGTAAAATCTTATGATCGGAGCTCTATGTTGGACAATGGGGCAGCTGAGGAAATCGGTTGTGGTCTATACTAGTGCCTTAAGTGTCCCGTGCCTCCCAAGACTATCATTTTAGTAAGTCCATTGATCATCTTATATAACCTTCTTCAAGATTATTTTATGAATGCGACAAGATCACTCGGGCGCGAGGAATTCAATTCTGCCAGAGTGTTGACACATGCACTGTCAAATCCACCGTAATTCCTGAGTGTGAACTCCTCAAGGTTTCTTTTGGAGAACTTCAGTTCTCGGTTCCAATTCTCACGAGATATAAGTACCTTTGATATCTTTCTATCGACTTTGTGAATGAATGTGGACCACCTTCCCTTTGAGAGCAATAAGATATGCTCTACCTCGTTTGGCAGTGTATAGAGCTTTCCTGCCCATATTGAATGTCAAGAAACCTTGAAACATAGTTTGAAACGCTTGTGGAAATCCGATAGCATTTCACGATTCTAAAGATCAAATATACAAATTAGTGAATTTAAGGTAGTCAATAAAAGTGCGTTTATTTTGAAATTTAAAGAGAAAATGAATTTATCAGATATCTCGTGTTTCCAAAAGTAATGATATATATATAGTATACTTTTATTAATTAAAATGGGTATAAATATATAATTATTATTAATAATTAATAAAATAATAATATTGACAAATTTTAAAATTGTTATTGTAAAATTCCATCACTAAATTTACAATATTGTTAATATTTTGTTGTTTATAAATGTTTAAAATTATTTTATATAAAACTAATATTTTGTGTTTGTAATTTATAAAATTTTATATATAATTAAACATAAAAGTGAGATAAAGTGCATCTAAAAGAAATATAATAAATAATAAAATAAATGAAGGGGAAATGATAAATTTATATTTTAGCTTTAAATATACGCTAAACAAGTAATTTACAAATTATTTTATGCTAATATTTTAGTAATATAAGGTTAAGTATGTTTTTGGCTCTGTTATTTAATTAACTTACTTTTATATATTTTTATTTTGAACTCTAGCTTCCATATCAATATATATATATATATATATATATATATATATATATATATGTGAGGGCCAAGTGTACGGCTACGATGCCGTATACTAATATTAGCGTAGTGGATTTTGGTAGCCGTCGGATTGGTTTCAATCCGGACCACTCGCTCCTGTATATAAGCTAGGGTTTTTGGGTTAATTGATATGCACATTTCTGTATTCCCTTTCCATATTCCATGCACTCACATTGGTGGAGATGAGGGGCACCTTTGATTGTCCTTGGGGAGTGCTTGGATTTGGGATTTCGGTTTAGATCTAGCTTTTGCATCGTCTAGATCTAGCTTTTTGGGATTTCGGTTTAGATCTAGCTTTTGCATCGTCTAGATCCAGCTTTTTCCATTTCCTTTCTTTTGTTCTTTCCTTTTAGGATTTTGGTTTCGATCTAGCTTTTTGCATTGTCTAGATCTACCATTTCTTTCCAGCTTTTTTGTCATTTCTCTTCTTTTGCTCTTTCTTTTTCGTTCATCTTCATGGCCGATCCGCCATCTCCTCCTTTGACTCTAGAGCAGCAGTTGGTTCAATTGCTTGATGCTATGCGCTTGCAATTGAACAACCAAACTCAGTTGATGGCGGCGTTCACGGCACGTGGTACAACTCCTCCTGCTCTTGGTGCCAATCCTCGCGTTCGACCGGAGTTCTTTCACGGGAATCCTGGGGATGATGTGTACCATTGGTTCGATCACTTTACGGTGATTGCCACATATCATTCTTGGGATGATGCTCGACGATTGCGTGAGTTTCCCACGTGTCTCCAAGGGACGGCGTTGCAGTGGTACAATGGTTTAAGCGTAGCTACTCGTGGGGATTGGAGTGTTCTCCCGGACGTCTTCAAACGCGCCTTCGGACATGCCGATGATTGTGATGATGCTTTCCAACAATTGCATCGTCTTCGCCAAGGGCCATCGGAGTCGGTGATGCAATTTGGCGTTCGTTTCCGAAGTCTTTTGCTTCGTGCGGAGCCAAATATGTCGGAGCGGATCAAGTTAGGAATGTTGTGGCCAGCACTTCGTCAAGATCTTGTCGGACTTGTGCATGCACTTGCTCCTGCCACCCTTGACGATGCTCTTCGCTTGGCACAACGTTATGAGACGTCGCCTCTTCCACTTCTCGCTGCACGTCCTTCCGCTCCACTTCCTATGGGTGATGGTCCTGTTCCAATGGAGGTTGATGCTGCTGCTGCTCGAGTCCAAGGACAAGCGCGAGGACGTGGTCGTGGCCGTGATGTTTGCTGCTGGGTGTGTGATGAAGTTGGTCATACTTATCGGCGTTGCCGTCGTTTTCCGGATTGGCGACCTCCATTTCCTGGGTGGAGACCTTGGCGTCAGCAACGTCCCCTGGGTGCTGCTGTAGTGGAAGGTCTGGACACCTAGATGCATCCGGGAAACGAGGAGTCGCGCGAGTAACGGAGGGACCTTGCACGAATAAATCAGTGACCCCTCCATCTTTCTTTCGGGAGTATCATCAAGGGGTTCACTCGGCACCAGTTCATCCAGTGTTTACTTTCCAAGCTCGTTTTTATAACAAGAAGTCTCCTATTATTCTCTCCGTGTTGGTTGATACAGGTTCGAGTTTATCTTCTATTGCTCGACCTGTTGCCACACGTTGTCGTCTACACTTGCGTCGTGCGGCAGAACCAGTTTTCATTCTTTATGGCAACGGCCGTACACATGCATGTGCACGGGATGAGGTGGACCTGGTTGTGCGTGTGGGCAATCTCGAGCTTGAGTTGCAGTCGTTGCGGGTGGTGCCGAGTCAAGCTTTTGACCTCATTCTTGGTATGGATTGGTTGCAGCGCAATCATGCCAAGTGTGACTTTGAGGCTTCTCCCCTTTGTCTCATACTTTCTTATGTTTCATCCATTCCTCTCACTTCCATACCTCTTCGTCCCTCTACTTCTACCTCTGCTTCCATTACTTTTGTTTCCCCACTCTTTCCTTCTGTGTTTCCATCTTGTTCTGCTTTTCCCTTTTCCGATCCCTCCGACGATCTTTGTGTTGTAGCAGTTGACCGGCTCATGAAGGAGTATTCTGATCTCTTTGAATTTGACCTATTGTCTGGGGCCAAGATTGCCACACGTCATCCAATTCCAACCAGGGATGCTCGTCCAATCAAGGTTCTTGTTCGTCGTCGGTCACCTAAGGAGATCAAAATTTTACGAGCAAACGTCAAGGAAATGCTGGAAAAGGGTGTTATTCGGAAGTCACGGAGTCCTTGGGCATGTGAACCTCATCTTGTGACGAAGCCTGATGGGAGTATTTGTTTCTGCATCGACTATCGTCCGTTAAACTAAGTGACGATCCCAGATGTGTATCCTCTTCCTCACACTGCTGATCTCTTGGATCGTCTGGGACGGAGTCGTTGGTTCACCAAGCTAGATCTTGCTTCTGGGTATTGGCAAGTACCGATGGCCGAAGAAGATATTCCTAAGACTGCTTTTCGTACACCATTTGGTTTGTACGAGTTCTTGGTGATGCCGTTTGGTTTGAACAATGCTCCAGCAACTTTCCAGCGGATGATGGACGAGGTTCTTTGCGATATGCCGGAGGTGACTGCTGACTTCATTGATGATGTTTTGATCCACTCGGAGGGGACGTGGGAGGAGCACGTTCGTGATGTTTGTAAAGTGTTGGATCGGCTACGCGACGTTGGTTTAAAGCTGAAGCGGTCGAAGTGCGTGTTTGGGTCCAAGGACACAACTTATCTTGGGTACCGTATTTCTCGTGAGTGTTTGCAAGTTGATCCTGACAAACTTGTGGCTGTTCTAAAGTTCCCTACTCCGAAGTGTGTGAATGATATGCAGCGCTTTTTGGGTAAGGTGCAGTATCTTGGTCGTTTTGTGGATCATCTTTCCGATCGCACTACACCATTGCGAGCATTGCTGAAGTCATCAACGTCATCTTTCATCTAGTCTCCAGATTGTGAGCGGGCGTTCGTGGATCTCAAGGAGCTATTGACGACTCCTCCGGTTTTGGCATATCCTGACTACACTCGACCTTTTATTTTGCACGTGGATGCTTCTGACATTGGTCTTGGAGGTGTGTTGATGCAAGAGAGCTCGAGTGTGCCTGGTCAGCGCCATCCCATTGCATACATAAGCCGTACATTACAACCAGCGGAGATGAACTACTCCACGACGGAGAAGGAGTGTTTAGCAGCAGTCTGGGATTTTGAGAAACTTCATGCATATCTACATGGTTCTTGGACGTTACTTGAAGGTGACCATGCTGCTGTTACTTCATTATTGAAGCGGAAGAACCTGGTTGGTCGTACGGCTCGATGGGCTTTGAAGCTTCAGATATATGATTTCGATGTTGTTCATCGCCCAAGGAGTTCTATGGCTGATGCTGATGCCCTTTCTCGAGCTCCTCTTCCTTCTCCACTCACTTCTCATCATTCTAACGAACCTGTTGTTCCAGCATCTGTGGATTTTCTAGATGAGGATTCTGTGCCGTCGGCGGTTGCTGTCCTTGACGTTCAGTGTCCACAGGGTGCAGAGCAAGATCTACCTTCTCTTGAGGAGGTTCGCGAGGCTCAAAAGATTGAGCCATGGATTCGAAGGCTTCGAGATGGGTTTGAGAATCCTACATCACTTGCTGATGACTTGCCTTTCCGGCATTTACATTCTCAATATCGCCTTGAAGATGGCCTTCTTTATTTTGTGGGGACGGATCCTAATGATCATTTACGACTGGTGGTACCTTCGGTGTTTATTCCGCGGTTTCTCCATGCCTACCATGATTCTCCTGTTCTAGGTGGGCATATGGGACACCGTCGTGTCACCGAGAAGCTGCGCAGGTCTTTCTATTGGCCGGAGATGCGACGTGATATTATCCGGTATGTGCGTAGCTGCATTTGGTGCCAAGCTCGTAATACTCCCCCTTGTGCTGCGGAAGGACGGTTAGAGTCAATTGCAATTTCCCGTCCGTTTGAGTTGGTGGCGTTTGATCTTATGGGACCTTTTCCACGATCGACTGCTGGCAATGAGTATGTTATTATTGCTTCTGACTACTTGACTCGTTGGGTGGAAGTTGGTGCTCTTGCTAGCGCCTCTGCAACTGCTGTTGGATACTTCCTCCTCAATCGAGTGGTGTTCCAGCATTCCTGTCCAGAGCGGATTCTTTCGGATAATGGTCCTGCATTTATGGCTGAGGTATTTCATGTTTTGACATCTCGGTTGGGGATACGCCACACTTTTACGAGTGCTTATCATCCACAATCAGACGGTCTGGTGGAACGGCTCGTTCGGACATTCAAAGGGATGATTTCGAAGTATGTGAACTTTCAGCATTCGGATTGGGATGGTTATTTGCCGTCTCTTCGGTATGCCTATGTCACAGGGGTGCAGAGTTCTGTTGGTGCTTCACCATATAAACTTTTATATGGTCATGATCCAATATTACCAACAGAGTTGGGTTTACCTTCACGATTGCCACGAGCTCCTGATGCTAAGTCATGGGATCAGTATTTGACAAGCATTCTTCCACTTGTCCGAGCAGAGTCTGCCAAACACTTAGGCCGCGTACAAGTGGGACAACAACGGCGCTACAACTCCCATCATCGTCCACCTGTGGAGTACAAAGTGAATGATTTGGTGTTAGTTCGTTTTCCCCATCTTACGGTACGTGGTTTATCTAAGGGGCTCCTTGCACAGTGGAAAGGACCGTATCGGGTGTTGCGGCAAGTTGGACCGCAAGTTTATGAGGTTCGGCATGACGTTCAGCAAACCGATCCTCCGGAGATTGTGCATGTGCAGCGGTTAAAACGCTTCATACAAAGGGATCAGGAGCAGTTAATACCGTCTACAGATCCGCCGATGCCTCCTCCTGACGTTCCTCCAGATCCCGGCCTATCTACAAGAGAACCCTGATGGCCTTCCATTATTCCGAGAGGAGGGGATGATGTGAGGGCCAAGTGTACAGCTACGATGCCGTATACTAATATTAGCGTAGTGGATTTTGGTAGCCGTCGGATTGGTTTCAATCCGGACCACTCGCTCCTGTATATAAGCTAGGGTTTTTGGGTTAATTGATATGTACATTTCTGTATTCCCTTTTCATATTCCATGCACTCACACACACACACACACACACACATATATATATATATATATATATATATATATATATATATATATCTGTGTGTGTGTGTGTGTGTGTGTGTGTATATATATATATATGTATATATATGTAAGAGGGTGCACTCTTATTCATGGGCTTTTTCCTTTTATATTTGAACCTTTATAAATCATTTCTCAAGTTGTTTCCTTTAGTTGTTTACATTTACACTCCTATAACATATATATACTAAAGAGATGGTAAATAACTATTTTAATAAAAATTTATATATGTCATAATTATCTCCTTCAAGGTATTAACAAGCTGTTCTATCAAACCATTACTATGTGGATAATAAACAATGAGAAAAGTGGCATATTCCCAATTAATACATCAAGAGGGTTAGATAGCCTAAGCCATAATTTAACTCTTACTTGTGTTTCTGTCCTTGTTTTACTTCTAATTTAGGTCTAAGGCCAAGCATCTTTGTCTTTGCTATTTAGTATCAGATCAGAGTAATATCTAGAGTGAACTATAGTTTCAAAAAGTTACTATCATGGTATGTTTATGTCAGTAACTTCAATTTCAATAAGTGCTTCACTTGTTTATGCCTTTGAAATATATCAGATCCATTATTACAGTGGACCAGCTATAGAGGTGGTCTATTCTCTGTGGTAGAATTGTAGTACATCATATATATTATTCTGCCATATAAGTGATCTTGCTCTTGCTGTCATGCCACAATAGCTCCCTTTTTCTTAGTCTTCACAACAATTGCATATGAAACTTTTCTTCTTTGCCTTTGTTAAATGCATGAGGAAGCGTCAATAGTAGGATAGCTTCCCAAATAAGATGTTACTCTTGTAGTCGTTACTTCTTAGTAAGCTCATCCCATTATGATTTATATTGCTTTACTAAATGCCTGTGAATGTAAGATGTTAGAAATGCATCACCACTTCACTAATCCTTTCATCAAATTTTTATGGCCACTACCTTCTCAATTTTTTTCCTTTTCCATCATCTTTGCATATTGGAGAGCTGTATTTTCATCAATAAACCATTTTCTTTTCTGTTCATAGCAAAGTGCCCAGAAAATTGTTGCAAACCGGCACCATAGTTGTGAAGAGAAGTTCCAACTGAACCAAAGCAGTTCCAGGGCAGCATCACGAAGGTGTGTGAGGACAACGAGAGGCAAATCAGCTCATCTCCAGCTCAGCAAAGCTTTGATCCCTGTTTGCCACCGCCTCAAGAGCGATACAGCTTTGGCCTGCAGGAAAGCAATGATCTTGGACACTCCCTCTTCATCCCCGGATTCTCTGGAGGAATCCCTCGCTGCTGGGCCTGGTGAGGGATTGTTGTTTCAGCACATGCTCGGGTCGTGTTGGCAAGAAGAGATGATCGTCATTGAGCTGAAGAGGAATGTCCCGGGTGGTTCCAATCCCATCACTAGATTGAGATCCACAAAATTCGGCATGATCCACAAAAAGTTGAGATGGCCGAGCTGGTCTAAGGCGCCAGATTAAGGTTCTGGTCCGCAAGGGCGTGGGTTCAATCCCACTCTCAACACTGCTCAAATTGAAAGAATGGCCTGCTTCCGGATATCAGGCGGCAAAACTAAATAAAAGATCCAAGTAAATGCGATCTAAATCACGAACTCTTCCGTTTAATGCGGTTTAGACCCCAAGCTGCGATTCCTGCAAGGTTCTTCGTAGTAAACTCCCACCGCATCCAAATACTTCCCAGCTCTCCCGAAAAACCCCACAATTCTACCCGGCCCGCTCCGGAAAAAATTGCCGTGCATTTTCCCAAACGGGCCGTACTGCTTCCTCTCGTCGTTGCTTTTCCTGCGAGTGAAGAAGATGAGCGAATTGATCGTCTGGTCAAACGTCCCCGACACCTGAAAGAGATACTCGTCGGGAAAATCCAGAGCCACCTACATGACATGTACGAATTAGATAATATTGTCTACGGAATTAGACAATGTGAGTGCTCTTTCTTCTTTTTTGTTCTACCTGGACTTTGCCTCCTCCGTTGCCTCCGTGCTGGCCGCCAGTTATTCGAGAGCCGTCTTGATCGTAGCCGACTTTGATCATGTCGATCCGGTTGCCGTGCCTCAATTGGATCAGTCTGATCCCTCTCGACATTCCATCGCTGAATTCGTCGCCCGCTGCTCCACCCCACATAAAAGACTGGCTCCCATCTACTCTTGCCGGAACCTGCAATTGCAGTGCCAGATCCTTCAAAATCCCACAAAAACTTCAAAGTTTTGAGAGTTGCCCACCAGAATCAAGGCCAGGACCAATGCCGTCGTGATCCATGCCATCGTTTGTCCTCTTCGATCAAACAAAAGCTCGAGCCACAAGAGTCGTTTAAGTAGCTGGCGCATGTCTCTTTACCTCCTCGACCACAAAGCGTCGCTGTAATCACAGCTTAAGTTAACTATGATACTAGTATCTTTTGCCGTTGGCGGGAATATGCCATGTTTCGATAAACTTGCTGGTTAGAAGGAGAATATCCTACAGACTCGAAAACTGGTACGAGAATATTCTATGTTTCGGATACCCGCTTGTCAAAAAAAGAAGGGTGGCCGCGACCGTCAGCCGCCATTTCACAAGCCGCCAGCACACGCGCACTGGGCCCGTCGAGCCCGTCATCGCTTGACACCCGGAAGGGCCGATCTTATCCACAAAGCCAAATTTTATTAAGCCATGGCTTTCCCGCAATAGGTCGTCGAACCCTCGATCGCCACTCCGGGACCGAAGAAGAAGAGCGCCAAGAGGGAGTGCTCGGCTATGGCGCGATCCGGTGTTCTTCGGCGCTGCGCATCCGGCGTCGCGAATTGGAGGCGGCAGAGCATCGTCGCAGGTGCTAGTCTTAATCTCCCCTCTTTCTCCACGGCGGAGCAGGGATCTCCTCCTCTCGCACCCCGCCATGGCGCGGTGGCAAGATTTCTAGGTTTTCAACCCGGCGGCATTGCGCTGCGGAGGAATCTCTGCACGGGCACGACTCTTGGATCGGCCGCGGCGGAGGAATGCATCAATGCGGCTCCGGCGCCAGCGCCATACAGCCCCGCCACTGGCACGTATTCCAGCGCCCGCCCGCCGCTCAAGATGCCCGAGGATCCGTGCATGGACGTCACCACATTCGTGATGAGCGGCAAGGACAATCTCGCGGACAAGCCGGCGCTGATCGATGCGAAGACCGGCCACACCATGACTTACTCGCAGCTCCAGCACGCGATCTGCTCGGTGGAGCTGGGACTGGTCAGTATCGGTGTCCGTCAGGGAGATGTGGTGATGCTCGTGTCCCGGAACTCCGTCCACTATCCAGTGGCATTCCTGGCGACCACATCGGTGGGAGGAGTTCTCGCGACGCTCAATCCACTGACGTCGGCCGGGGAGGCGAAGAAACAGGCCGAGGCAGCGGGAGCTCGGTTCGTCATCGTGGAGGAGGAGTTCGTGGACAAGGTGGCGGAGCTCGGGGTGCCACTGGTGATCATCGAGAAGGGCGACAAGATCAAAGTTGGCTCCACGGAGGTTGCCTTTTCGGATCTCCTGGCGTCGGATCCTTCGTGCAGCAGCGCTCCGGAGACGAAGATCAGCCAGGACGATCCGGCTCTCGTGCTCTACTCTGCCGGAACTACAGGGCCGAGCAAAGGGGTGGTGCTAAGCCACAAGAACATCATCGCCCAGTTACTCCAGCTCTCGGTGCTCGGAGAGACGGACGCAGGGACGCATCTGTGCTGTCTGCCGATGTCTCATGTGTTTGGCTTGGTGGTGATCACGCTCCAGCAGTTGTACAGAGGAGCTACGGTGGTGGTGATGCCCAAGCTCGACATGAACGACGCTCCAAACTTGATCTCGGCTCACAAAGTCACTCACCTCTACGCGCTTCCTAACACCATCGCGGGCATTCTCAAGATAATGACGACAAGTACTTCCCCAGGTAGTTTTAGTTCTCTTCAACGTGTTCTGTGCGGTGGAGCTCCCCTGCGCAAGGAAGTGATCGAGGAGTTCTGCAAGCAAGTTCCCGATGCTTCCTTTGTTCAGGTAAGAGCTCGATCATTGTTTCTTACTCTTTCCTTCTTTGTTTGCTGATTTTTCGTTTCGTTATTTTCAGATTTATGGATTGACAGAGGCCACCGGAGCAGTGGCACTGAATAATCTGAAAGAAGATCAATTCCCAGACTCTGTCGGTACTCTTCTCTCTGGAATTGAGGCCAAGATCCTGAATGGCGATAAAGAGCCTTTGGGTCCAAATAACCAAGGAGAGCTTCATGTCCGTGGACCAAACGTCATGAAAGGTTCGTGGTGTTCTTCCTGTAACCACATCACTTGACTTTTCTCTCATCTCTCATCTCATCTTTTCCTTTCGATGCAGGCTACTTCAAAGGTGTTGACGAGACTTTGGATCAAGATGGTTGGCTGAGCACTGGCGACCTCGTGAGTTTCGACGAAGAAGGTAGAATGTTCGTCATTGATCGGATCAAGTACAAGTCTCACCAGGTATGTGTCTCCTTTTTGAGTTTAGAGAGCAGTAAGTCACGAGAGAGAATTCCCCGTTTCCTCAGGTTGCTCCAGTCGAGCTAGAAGCGATTTTGCTTTCCCACCCTTGCATAGTAGATGCTGCAGTTGTCCCGTAAGATTTCGAAATCTCCTCTTCCTCCCCGCGAGGCTCCCATGCATTGTCATTTCTCCAAGTTCCTGCTTCTGATGGTGATCTCTTTTTATCGTTTCTCTTGGCAGAGCTCCGGGTGAGGAGGCGGGGCAAGTTCCAGTAGCATTTGTTGTACAATCTCCGGATGGTAATCTCACCGAGAACCGAGTGAAGGAGTTCCTAGCTGAGAGAGTAAGTTCATGCTAATTCTTCTATGAGATTCTTCTTTGAGGATTCTAAGAGCTCTCTCTCTCTCTCTCTCGATTTTCTTCCAGGTTGCTCCATACAAGAAGGTACAACAAGTGTTATTCGTAGACGAGATTCCAAAGACAGGCTCGGGAAAAATTCTACGTGGGGATTTGCTCCAGAGACATTTGTGATAGAAATAAGGAAAGCTCCATCTATTTTTTTTGGTTATGAGCTTGAGCGTGGAAGAAAAACCCTAAGCTGGGTGCTACGTGATGGCGGGAGGAGGAGGATTGCGCTATGCCGACGGCGTCTACAGCAGCTCGCGCCCTCAAGTGGATCTCTCGCAAATTCGCAGCTCTAGCATCGCGCACTTTCTCTTCTCTTCCAAATCCCACGGTCAGCGCCCGGCGCTCATCGATTCTCCTTCCGGAGCGACAATGTCGGCCAGGGAGCTCGAGCATCGCGCAATATCGGTCGCCAAGGGGCTCCGGGGATTCGGCGTGCGCCAGGGCGATGTCGTGATGCTGCTCTCCCCGAATTCTCTCGAGTATCCAGTCGTCGTCCTGGGCGTGGCGATCCTCGGCGCCGTGGTCACGACCGTGAATCCGGTAAATACTTCCCGCGAGGTCGCCAAGCAAGCGGTGGATTCAGATTCCAAGTTTGTCGTGACTGTTGTAGCGCTGGCGGACAAGGTGACGGGATTGGGACTCCCCACTGTGCTCATCGATGGCGCCCCCGGCCTCCACAGGAGCAACAATTCGCAAGCTTCTCTCGGGGATTTGCTCGTGGACGAGGTGGATGGCTTCGCGTTTCCAGAGATTTCTCTCGGGGACCCGGCCGCGCTCTTGTATTCGTCCGGGACCACGGGGACGAGCAAAGGGGTGGTGCTCACGCACAGGAATCTCATCGCTGCCGCGGTGCTCCACGCAGCGTCGGGGCCAGATGTCGAGCCGGGCGAGGTCTATCTCTGCGTCATACCGATGTTTCACGTGTTTGGGCTCGTGATCGTCACGTGTACGCAGCTCAGCCGGGGTGTTCCCATCGTCGTCATGCCGTCGTTCGACTTTGAAGCCATGCTTGGAGCGATCCAGAGGTTTAAGATCACCCACGTACCGCTGGTGCCTCCGATTGTCATCGCGCTCGGCAAGTCCCCGGCCGTGAAAGCGTTTGATCTGTCGTCGCTGAGGGAGATTGGATCCGGGGCTGCTCCACTTGGGAGAGAAGTGATCAACGCGTGCCTCGAGAGATTTCCAGATGTCAAAGTCCGGCAGGTAAGCACACGCTCTTTTCTACGTTTTGGTCTGTTTGTTCAAATGGTTCTTTTTTTGCTTTGGTTCTTTTGTGTCAGGGGTATGGTTTGACGGAATCCACTGCTATTGCTTCTGTGGCAGACCCGGATGATCTAGAACACTATGGCTCCGCGGGACTTCTCTCATCAAACACGCTCGCGAAAGTGATTGACGTTGGAAGTGGACGTCCATTACCTCCAAATCAACAGGGAGAGATTTGGATTCATGGTCCGACGATCATGGATGGTAAACATCTTTGGTCTGTGTTTTATTCGCTTGTCTCTAGCTGTTGACCTGTGCAGAGTATTTAAACAATCCCAATGCCACGGCAGAGACCGTGGATGCCGAAGGCTGGCTGCACACTGGGGACCTGGGATACTTTGATGACAGTGGAAATCTCTACGTTGTGGATCGCATCAAAGAACTTATCAAGTACAAAGGCTTCCAGGTAAAGCACAGAGAAGGCGATTGATTATTTTATACATGTTTGGTGTTCTTGGCAGGTTGCGCCAGCAGAATTGGAAGCTTTGCTGTTGTCACACTCACAAGTTGTAGACGCCGCTGTTATACCGTAAGCAGGCAAAAGTTTTCTATAGTTTGATTGTTTATGGCTTTACCAGGTTTCCTGATGAAGAGGCGGGTCAAGTACCACTGGCTGTTATTGTTCGTAAGCAAGGATGCAGCCTGGACGGGCAGGGTGTCATGAAGTTTGTCTCCGACCAAGTATTGTGTCCAAATCCTTGTCTGCGATTCGCTTACACTTGTTTCTCTTGTTCTGTCAGGTGGCTCCCTACAAAAAAGTTCGCAAAGTGATGTTTATTGATGCGATTCCAAAGTCTGCATCCGGGAAAATCTTGAGGAGAGAGCTCGTCCAAATGACAATGCCCGTCTCAAAGCTGTGACTGCATTTTCTCTTCTGAACAAAAACGGGTATGAGGTGAGGATTTTTTGTCATTAACTGTATGTTTGTTTTGTCATAGGCTTCCAAGCTCTACAAGCTTCTTCCAGCCCAGCGGCATCCTAAAATTCTGGCTGTCTTTGTTTTTAAGTTGCTAGCAACGCGTCGAGCTTGCTGGAGAGAACTAATGTGGCGTTGCTTTCACTTGTTTTTGTCAGGCCCTCGTGACTTTTGGTGTTCTCCATGGCACAAACCAGCTTTCGTATGGAATGGCTGCCCTGAGCGAGGAGGAGAATTCGCGCTGCTATCAACTGGTTAAGGGGATACCCAGTTTACTAGCTAGATTTCGGGCTTGGAAACGGTGGCATCCATGAGCATGCTCGCCGTCAAGCAGTCCCGGGGCTTGCAGCGAAATCCCTCAGCAAATGTGCTTGCAAGCTCCTGCATGCTAGCGTTTTATTTATTTATTTATTTTTTTGACATACTTGAGCTGGCTTGACTAACACTTTTCCACGAATGAAGTGGAAACAAAGGTTGTCATTAATGTGGCAAGCTTAAACATTACAAGATTAATTGTCCACAGTTAAAGAATAAACAATAAAGCAAGAAAAATAATCAATTTTTTAATGATGGTAAATTAAATATTATGAAATTGCAAAATTTACAACATGAGGATGATGAGGAAGATTCTTTTGGTCCAAAGAACAAACTCTCAATCGTTATGTATAAAATAAAACAAAGGTTGAGGACATTTGTGTATTAACTTTAATGTTGGAGGGTGTATTATATGGTGGTATAAAATAAGACAAAGGTTGAGGACATTTGTGTATTAGCTTTAATGTTGGAGGGCGTATTATATGGTGGTCCAATATAAATTTTACTAGACAATAGGAGGAATAACAATTTTATTTCAGCAAAATTGTAAGAAGCATGGCTTCGTAGCCCTTTTCAAGGCATATAGCTCTCTATAAATCTATGGAATTTTATCCACTTGAACAATAGAAATAAATTTTAATCATTCAGTAGGTGTGTCACAGATTCTTTGCCCCATGACATGAGGACATAGTAAAAGCTGCAACTACCCTTATACAACATTTCAATATTTGCATAGAGGTTATAGATTGGCAAAACCACACTTCTAGAGATTTTATACCTCATGAAAATCTATTATATATATCTTTTCTTGGAAGGCAATTGTGAATCTAATGATAAAGTGGAGAATTAAGCACATTTCACTAAAGTATAATGGCATCAAGGATATGTGGTTTGGAAAAAGAGTTTACTCTCTACCCTTGATTACATCTTTAAAGTGAGTTTGCTATGATAAAAAAGCCACTTTCAAATTACTTACTATTTGTTCATGATTTAAGGGACTAAGCCACATGTGGGGGAGAACAATCTTGGATGTACTTAAGGAGTTTGTTAATGTCTTTCCATTTAAATTTTCACATGGATTGCCTCTATTATAGCTCTATTATATTGGATGGACTAGGGGTGGCCTATATTGTCCTTTCTATGTAATCGTTCATAGACTAAAGAAAAAAATTTGAGAAATGGTCCATAAGGGTTCTAATATAAAGGGAAATGACTTATAGATAAAAATGCACCGTTTTTTTCAATTGGTTAAAGATTTTAGAATTTTTGGGGTTAAGTGTCCTTGAGTTTAAATAATATTAACCTCTTAGAAAGTCCAAATTTATGAGCTTATATTTGGAATTAAAAAGGTATTAAGTTCAACTTTATTAGTCGGCTAGCGAAATCACACCATATATTTAAATTAACATTTGATAAGTTTAGTTTGCCTTTAGTTGGGCTCAATTTGTGGGGTAGGGTGTTAAGAAAGCAAGGCTCTCGAGAGAGTTATGGCTCTTAACTTCCATTCACGAGGGTGTAAACTTGTAGAGAAGCATAATAGATTATAAACAACCAAAGAGAGAGCAAGACTTTCGAGAGAGTTGTAGTGCATGTGATCATGGGATGAGATTTGAATGTACTGTCACCGTGGATCCTTGGAACCTTGGCGGATAAATGGGGATAAAATAGCCACTAAGGGCTCTCTCATAAAGTAATTATCCTTTTTCTAATTGGTTTAAAGGGAGAGAGATAGAGTGCATTACATATGGTATCAGAGCAAATAGTATGGGTTTGATTCCCATTGATTAGTGGCTACTTAAGAATATAATATACCCTTGAACAAGGTATATTTCTACCCCTAAATTTAAAATCATACGTATTAGGCATCCATGCGTATGTCCTTATTTTTGGTGGAACATCCACGGATGAAGGTATCAACTGTGGGATTGCGGTACAAGTGGATGACTAGTTGCCTCATATGGAATAGCTGGTTTGCATAATGGAAGAATTAATAAATTTAGTGCGGAAATAGAGGTGTTAATTCCCCTTGGCTCAGTAGAGGTTGTTACTCAATAGTCAATAGTCAATGAGGACATTAACATCTCTCGAGGGGGGGTAAGTGTAGCGCATATGATTATGGGATGAAATTTGGATATACTGTCACTGTGAATCCTTGGAACCTTGGGGGATAAATGGGGATAAAATAACCACTCCTTTTCTTTTATATTTGAACCCTTATAAACCATTTTTTAAGTTGTTCTTTTTGGTTGCTTATAATTTACTATACTTCCCTGCAAGTTCACGCCCTCATGAATGAAAACTAAGAGCTACAACTCTGTAATGCACCCTATCTTTCTCCCTTTAAGCCAACTAAAAAAAGGGCAATTACTTGATACCCTTGAGTCCTTAGGTTTAAATAATGGCTAGCTAGATGATATTTTGGGAAGTTTAAATTCAAAAATTTATAAAGGTGTAGAGTATGAGATTATGCTAGCACCAAGACAAGGTGAGCATAGACCACTCTTAAGCTAATGAGCTCAAGTATTAAGTTTCTGAGCTGAGCTCAAATTTTAAATATAGTTTAATACAAATGTTATAAAATTTCAAAATTTAAGTTCATGGTGAACCTAATTTTGTACTATATTTTAACATCTCTTTGCATTTTATATAATAAAAGTATTTTAGTAGAGACTTTATATCTAAGAATTTAAATATTTACCATATGTAAAAAAATCAAAATTTTAAATAAGATAGGATTTCTTGTAGAAAAGCTATCTTAAATCTATACTATATGCTTTATGACTTATAAATATCAAAGATTTATCTGTGAGGGCCAAGTGTACGATTATATACTAATATTAGCGTAGTGGGATTTTTGGTAGCTGTCAGATTGGTTTTAATCTGGACCATTCGCTCCTGTATATAAGCTAAGGTTTTTGGGCTAATTGATATACATATTTTCTATTTTCCCTTTCCATATTCCAAACACTCACATTGGTGGAGATGAGGGGCATCTTTGATTGTCCCTGAGGAGTGTTTGGATTTGGGATTTTAGTTTAGATCTCGTCCCTGCGCTCTATCCCATCGAAAACTTTTCTCGCCTGATCGATCCTCCCACATCTCAAGTACATGGCGATGAGAGTGTTCCCGAGAGGACCATCCAGTTGGATCTTCAAGGCAGCAATCTTTGCGAGCTTTTGCATTGTCTAGATCTAACTTTTTTCATTTCCTTTCTTTTGTTATTTCCTTTCAGGATTTTGGTTTAGATTTAGCTTTTTGCATTGTCTAGATCTACCATTTCCTTCTAGATATTTGTCATTTCTCTTCTTTTGCTCTTTCTTTTTCGTTCATCTTCATGGCAGATTAACAATCTCCTCTTTTGACTCTGGAGCAGCAATTGGTACAATTGCTTGATGTTATGCACTTGCAATTGAACAACCAAACTCAGTTGATGGTGGCGTCCATGGCACGTGGTACAGCTCCTCCTGCTCTTGGTGCCAATCCTTGCATTCGGCCGGAGTTCTTTCGCGGGAATCCTGGGGATGATGTATACTATTGGTTCGATCATTTCACGGTGATTGCCACATATTAGGATGATGGTTGACGTTTGCATGAGTTTCCCAAGGGACGGCATTGCAGTGGTACAATGGTTTGAGCGCAGCCACTCATGGGGATTGGAGTGTTCTCCCAGATATCTTCAAAGATGCCTTCAGACATGCCGACAACTGTGATGATGCCTTCCAACAATTGCATTGTCTTTGCAAAATGCCATCTAATGCAATTTGGCATTCATTTCAAAAGTTTTTTGCTTCGTGTGAAGCCAAATATGTTAGAGCGGATCAAGCTAAGAATGTTGTGGCCAACACTTCGTCAAGATTTTGTTGGACTTGTGCATGCACTTGCTCCTGCCACCCTTGACGATACTCTTCGCTTGGCACAACGTTATGAGACGTCGCATTTTCCACTTCTCGCTACACGTCCTTTAGCTCCACTTCCTATGGGTGATAGTCCTATTCCAATGGAGGTTGATGCTACTACTGCTCAAGTCTAAGGACAAGGGCGACGACGTGGTCATGGCCGTGATGTTCGCTGCTAAGCATGTGATGAAGTTGGTGATACTTATCAGCATTGTTGGTGTTTTCCAGATTAGTGACCTCCATTTCCTAGGTGGAGACCTTGGCATCAGAAACATCCCATTAGTGCTGCTGCAGTGGAAGGTTTAGACATCAAGATGTATCTGGGGAACGAGGAGTCATGCGAGTAACGGAGGGATCTTGCGCGAATAAGTCAGTGACCCCTTCATCTTTCTTTTGGGAGTATCATCAAGGGGTTCATTTGGCATCAGTTCATCTAGTGTTTACTTTCCAAGCTCGTTTTTATAACCAGAGGTCTCTTATTATTCTCTCCGTGTTTGTTGATACATATTTGAGTTTATCTTCTATTGCTCGACCTGTTGCCACACGTTGCTGTCTATACTTGCATCATGCAGTGGAACTAGTTTTCATTCTTTATGGCAACGGTAGTGCCCAAGGTGGCACGAAATAGGAAAGAGCATGATGGTGCCCTCGAGTAGAGAACTTCCTAGGAGGGGAAGTGTAGTTGCACAAAATGTCCAAGGCAAGGTGTCGGACACACCTAGGAAATTGACTTCAAGAAGCCAAAAGTAAGCGTTCCAAAGTGCAAAGGTAGATCAATGGAATCTGTGACTACTCAAGAATGAGTAGTGGAATTGATCTAGAGAGGGTGTCTCTAACCGGTTTAGCGAGAACTGAACCAATAAAAAGGAGCAACCCACCCCAGGTGGTCAAGTGAGTCTCTAAGTTGGAGAGACTATCCTCCTTGGAGGATGGGCAAGGCATGGTGAGCCTTTGGTGTCAAACCATTGACGAATAACGAGAAGGCATGGTGAGCCTTCAACGTAAAACCATTGACAAATATTGGCTAGGTGCCAAGGATGGAAATGGTAACACATGCGGGTGTTACTTTATAAAATGGTTTACCATACGATGAGGACATCGAACTTCGTCTATGGGTGGTGGAGTTGTGAGACACAAAATCCCTAGGCCCCAAAGTGGAGCCGGAAGGGCGCCACGTGGTAGTGGCCGAAGCAAAAGCCAAACGAGCGT